TCCCAATCCTTCCTGGGGAGACAGGCATGGGGGAATGCTGGCATTTTGGGGCATCCCTGGTTCTGTGGTGTGGCCACTGTCACCTGTTATAAGGCAAAAGCTGTTGCCACCTTCTTCCCCTGTGGCTCCTATTGTTCCCCACAGGTCAAGACGGTCACCAAGTCCCCTTCTGGGCTTTTGGCTGTGACAGTGACCTCCTTAATGCCAGGCCACAAGCCAACGGAGAAAGTGATTCAGGACGTGGACTGCCTGCTGTGGGCTGTGGGGAGGGAACCCAACACCCAGGACCTGTGCCTGGACCGAGTGGTGAGATGGCAGCGCTGGTGCGAGGATGCCCCTCAGGTCTTCGGGGACCCATGGGTCTCTGGGGTCCCATGTGTCTCCAGAGCCTGCCATAGGATGGTATTCCCACCATGATCCCCCTGCGGCTGGTAGCACTGTGGCCACCAGCATGGCTCCCCCATGGACACTGCTTGTCCCATCCCACCCATCACACTTTGCCAAAAGCAGCTGCTGTTTCCCAATGGCAGGGTGTGCAGATGGATGCCAAAGGCCATGTGGTGGTGGATGAATACCAGAACACCACCAGGAGAGGGGTCTATGCCATCGGGGACGTGTGTGGGAGAGCTCTCCTCACCCCAGGTACCACGGCTGTGCCACTTTCCCCTCCATGGTGCATTCGTGCCACAGTTCAGGCTCCTCATCCTTGTCCCTCCCCACAGTGGCCATTGCAGCTGGCAGAAAGCTGGCCCACAGGCTCTTTGAGGGCAAGCAGGACTCTCGGCTTGACTACCATTACATCCCCACTGTTGTCTTCAGCCACCCACCCATTGGCACCGTGGGTCTCACTGAAGGTAGGGACAAACGGGGCTGGGTACATTAGCTCAGAGATGATGATTTGATGCTCAAGGAAACAGTCGGATCTCCAGCAAGTGGTCTGAGCCTTGCAAAATGTGCTTTGAGTCCCTCATTATAAGCACCTTGTGCATATGGCACAGCCCCTTCACCTATGTGTTGTGTCTTCTGCTGCAGATGAAGCCGTGGCCGCATACGGGAGGGAGAATGTGAAGAGCTACAGTACGTCCTTCAACCCCTTGTACCACGCTGTCACCCAGAGGAAGGTGAAGTGTGTCATGAAGCTGGTGTGCGCTGGCAAGGAGGAGAAGGTGTGTGGAGGGGATGTTGGGGGACAACTGGGCAGTGCATGAGGATGGAAAGGACCACAGCTGGTCCTCTTGTACCCCCGTGGTCAGGTCTGATCCAGCTCCCCCAGCATCAAGCCCAGCATTCACCCTAGATTCATGGATGGCCACAAAGATCTTCTGAGGGCTCGGGTACCTCTGCTCTGGAGAAAAGTTGAGAGAGCTTGTTCAGAATGGAGAAGAGGAGGCTCCAGGGAGACCTTATAGCAGCTGCCAAATGCCTAAAGGGGCTAGAAGAAACCTGGAGAGGGTCTTTGGACAAGGACCTGCAGGGACAGGCCAAGGGGGAATGGCTTTAACCTGACAGAGGGGAGATTGAGATGAGATGTTAGGAAGTTCTTTCCTGTTGAGGGTGGTGAGGCCCTGGCACAGGTTCCCCAGAGAAGCTGAGTCTTTCCCAATGGCTAGCCACTGGGTTCAAGGCCCCATGCCCTTGAACCTGGAAGTGTTCAAGGCCATGGACGGGGTTTGGAACAACCTAGCCTAGTGGAAGGTGTTCCTGCCCATGGCAGGGGATTGGAACTGGATGAGCTTTAAGGTCCCTTCCAACTCAAACCAGTCTGCCGGTGCTGTGTCCTATCCAGCCTCTCTCTTCTTCCCCAAAGGTGGTGGGATTGCATATGCAAGGGCTGGGCTGTGACGAGATACTGCAGGGCTTTGCTGTGGCCATCAAAATGGGGGCCACCAAGGCTGACCTGGACAACACCGTTGCCATTCATCCCACTTCTGCTGAAGAGCTGGTGACGCTGCGCTAAGGCAGCAGGCATGGGTGGCTGCAGAAAACCTTTAGATATGTCTTAATGCCTTACTGTCAGACGGTTGTGTGAAGAGGGGTCTGTAAGACGGCGTAGAAAATAAATACTGTGATATTGACAAGGCTCTATGTTTCAGTTTATGGTGCCTGTCTCCTGTGATGCTCAAGGGTTTAGGAGGAGGCTGCCAATGGCTGCGTTCCACCTGCGTGCTTGGGGTACTCATTCAGTACCCTTGGAGTATCCCAGGTGGGTTCCTGTCCTCCGCTGCATGCTTGTGCAGGGATGTACTGGCATCGCTGTTGGATATGGGATGACGGGGATGCATCCTGCATCCAAGAGCCCCTGCTGCACCCAAGGGGCTTCAGATCCACTGCCCCAGCTCAGTCTGCTTATTGTGGATCTGCCTCTTGAGCTTTCACACCTTTGAGGCAGCTTGAAGCACAGCTGGCCAGTAGAGGTAGAAATAAATGGTGTGCATGAAATCAAAGTATCTCTGAGGTTGAAAATTCCCCAAAATCTAAGTTGTGGCCAAAGGAAGGGGCTCCTGGTGCTCAGCCCAGGTGTGGCTCCGAATTTTGCCAGGTTGTCGCCATCCAGGAGGCAGGAAAATCCCCCCCTCCCCCCCCCCCCCCCCCCATCCTAACACCATCAGCATGTGTTTAAAGAGTATATTGGTCTCTTAAGGGGTCAAGTCCAAGCAAAAGCCTGAATATTACCAGTATCTTTAGTTATCTATGAACAAATAACGATTTGCAAGGTTTATTACTAAGGGAAGCAAATGAGATTTCCTCTGGCTGCGCTACAGATGAGCCTCGGGCAAATTACAGGAGTGTCAGCTGGAGTTAATTCAGTTAATTGCTCCATTTGAATCATGGAGACTTTACCCTCACAGTCAACATCTTTTGGCAGTTGGTGAGTGGTGGGTTTGGTTTGTTTTCCTTTTTAAATGAAAACTTGGGAAATTATTGAAGTGTCCAAAAAGGAAAGCACAGACATCGGCAGGGGGCTCTGTGGCCGAAGAAACCTCCTTTTTTGAGAAAATTAGGTAAAAAAAAAAAACAACCACAAAACAGCTCAGGGGTGCCGGGAGCCCTCGTGAGACCACATCCCCCGGGCGGCGGACGCTAGGACCCAGCGACCGAGAGGCCGTTCAGCCCGCAAGCCCCGCCCCGCCCCGCCCCACCACCCGCTGAGACTCCTCCCACTGAGCGTGTGCGCGGGGCGGGGCCTAAGGGTCGGCCAGTGCGCTCGCCGTCTTTCTACGTGCGGGTCTTGGGTGTGCCGGTTACTGCTGCTGCCGGGGGTTAAAGCCTGCCGGGTCGGTGCCGGCGCTCTCGCCGGTTCCCCGACCCCTTCCCGAGCGCCGCCCGGGTTCGGGGACTGGGGTCGGTTTGGGGCTTCCGCGGGGGCTGCGGCTGAGCAGAGCCCTGCAGAGCGGGGACCGGCCCTGGTCGGTGCTGCGGATCCATAACGAGCCCCGCATTCCCCGGACGTGGCTGCCGGGGGAGGTCCGGGCCTCGGTCTCCGAGAGAGCCGAGCCCTGCGGGGCTGGACACCGGCTCCGGGGCCCGCCTGAGGCTCCCTGAGGGCATGGGGCTGGCCATCGAGGAGGGCACCCCGGGCTCCGGCACATGCTTCGGGAGCGGAGACCGAGGGCTGAGCCTGGCCTGGAACGGGGCTCGGAGCTGAGACAAAGTCCTGAGCGTTGGAGTCTGGAAGCCAACCGGCTCCTGGGGCCGCTTTGGGTTCAGAAACAGAGACCGAGTCCTGCGGTTTGGGGGCTCGAAACCGGGGTCACTAGAACCAGATTTGGTGCGCAGAAATGGAGACCAAGCCTCACGTGTCGGAACCCGGCTCATGTGGTGAGTTCTGGGGCTCAAACAGCCCTATCTCTGCGTTTAGCTGCTCAAGAAACAGGTTCAGAGCTTAGAAACAGAACTGCCGTGTATGGAAGTCTTGCCATGACTCATTGGGCTGATGCTGGGGCTCAGAAACACAGACCAGGTCCTGACTTTTGCTGCTCAGCACCAGGTGTTTGGGGGCTCAGGAGGGTGCTTTGGTACTCGGGACCTGGGGCCACGGCTCTGCAGCATGGACACGGCATTTCCCAGCTGCAGAACGGAGCCCTGGGGTTGCGCCAGGGCCCGAGTCCTGCACCTTTGGGCTCAGAAGCAAGACCCTGTTGGGTGGTTCTGTGGTCAAAGCCAGGGCCAGGCTGGATGGGGTTGGGCTGTGGGAGCAGAGTAGGCTGGTGCATGGATCCTGGCCAGAGGGGGTGTCCAGTCACGTTGGTCCCTGAATGCTGGAACACCTAGCATGCACTCGCCTGAATTCAGTATCTGAGGTAGTCTCTGGGTGAAAGGTGCTTTTCACGCTGGGTCTGGGCTCCAACTCTATTTACTCAAGGCATGTACAACCACTGCAAGAGTCTTGGGCGCTTGTTAGCCCAGGGCTGTACAGCGAGCAATTATGACAGGTCATATTCATCTACATATTGTGACAGTGACTGATTTACGACCTGGCTATAAGCCAGACTTAGTTTAACAAGCACAAGCCGGTTGAAGCAGCAGCTGGGGCTGGAGATGGACATGAGCTGCAGCCACAGTGGAACTGGACCCATCCAGAGGCTGGGCCTGAAAAAAAAACAGGTGGACAGAAACAGTGTCTGGAGCCATAAACGAGCTGAGCCTGAAAGAAACATTGACTTGAACAAACACACAAAACTCCAAGCCCACAACCCCCCTTGAAACTACCCAACCCTGCCCAAAACTACCCCAAAACCCATGAAAAGCTACCCAAACCTACCCAAAAGCTTCCAAAAATACACAGAAGTGACCCAAAACCGACCAAAAAGCTACCCCAAGCCCCCACCCTCTGGCCGTGTCCTTACTGAAGCCAGACACTCGCACTGCCACGGGCGGGCACAAGCAGGTCAGGCGGCAGCGTCGGCCTCAGCACACAGCTCCCGGCGTGGCTGGGGCTCCTCTGCCCATCCGTGTGTCCATCCCTGTGCAGGAACAGACATGGCACAACCAGCTCCTGGCAGCACACCCCTGAGACAGCCGGGGAGGGAGAAGCGGGGCTGGGACCCCAGGAATGTACCGGTTCTTCCCGGAAGGGCGGGTGAGTGCCAGGGTCTGTCTGAAAACCCTCCGGCCCTGAGCGTTAACAGCGGCACAGACCGACCGCGGCAGCCTCGGACGGGGACCGGCACCTGCCAGTGCCGGGGTCTGGATTGGACCCCGACAGCACCCCCTCCCACCTCTCCAGACACCCTGAACGGGTACCCCGGTGCCTCCTGCGGCACCCGGGGATTCCCCCGGAGCCATCTCCTCGATCCCACCGTACAGGGTTGGGGCACTCATCCCACCGAGGTGTCCTCACTCACCCCTCGGGCCCTGCTCCTCGGTGAGGATGAGCTTTCCTCACACAGCACCACCCGGATCAACGACAGCTCCCGAGGGATCGGCAGCACCGGGGCGGCCCTCTCTCCCCGTGCCTGGCCGGGCTTCACAGAGCCACCAACGGGGCTCCAGAAGCCGGTGAGCGGATCTGGGCCTCTGCTCCCACCGCAGCCTCTTTTGAGCTGAAAAAGAAGGGCTTAGGTCAAACCACGGCTCCGCTCAGAGCAGCAGCAGTGTAAACCAGTTTTCCCCAGCAGCTCCCACACTCACCAGTCCGAGCTCTCGCCAGAGCCGGACGGACGGAAAGCTCTGTCCTGCCGGAGCCGCTGCGGGGAAGAGCCGGGGAAAAGCAACAGCCGGTGCCCGCTCCGGGAGGAGGGAGCCCGGCAACGGGAGGGGTCACCGGCCGCCCCGGGAGACCCTCAGCCCCCGCGGAAGTCACCGGGAACCCATGGATGGTCCCGCCCCGGGAAGAGGGCGAGAACCCGCTCACCAGTGACTGCCGGCGCAGGCAGCCCCGACCCCCCGGTACCTGCCGCTTTCCGCCGCGGTTCCCGGCAGGAGTCCCACACGCAAAGCCGGGGGTGCGAGCAGTGGTAACCGGGCAGCGCTTGGTGCCGCCGCACCCGCACCGTAGCCCCGCAGCGGAGGAAGAAGCGAGGAAATAGCGCCGGTTCTGCCCATCTTCCCCCGCTTTCCCTTGCTCGGCAACGTCCCGGGATGCCGAGGCTGCCCAGGGCAGGCGGGGGCCGGCGTCGCTCTCGGTTCTCCGTGTCTGAAACCTCCTCCTTGAAGCCCCGGGGAGGCGGGAGAGCGACTCCCTCATCCCGGTCCCCGGCTCGGAGCCCGCCCTTGAGCAGCGGCCTCCGCTCAGCCGCAGGAGTGGGGCGCGGCGGCAGCACAGGGCGGATCCGTGGCGGGGCAGCAGCCCCAGCGCGGCGCCCAGAGGCCCCAGGCACAGGGACCTCTTCCCGCTGCGGCGGCGCCCCCTGCTGGCCGCGGGGGAGGCTTTGGGGCCTCTGGCGGACGCAGAGGGGGTGGGCTGCGCGGCCGGGCGTCGGGGCAGCAGCGCAGCACCCACAGCCGGAACGGGGGGCGCTCCCAAGCAAGGATCAGCCGAGACATTGGCACCTTTCCTTTCACCCCTTTATTAACGCCACCGTTAGTTTTAGCCCTCGCCATTCGAGCCAGCCGGTGCCGCTATCTGTCCGGGACCCGCCTGCAGGTACCTGGAGCTCCTGCAGAGAGAGGGGAGGGAGAGCGGCTGCCCCTCGTGGGGGTCCTCCCGTTATCCCGGGATCAGTCGCCATTACCAACCCCATGTACCTTCACGCAATGCCTGTCTCCAGCACGTCCTCGCTTTTGGAAGGCAAATTCTTGTTTAACGTCTCCATCTCGTCCGCCTTTCTCTTCATGCGCTGCTTCCGACAGTGGCTTTGATGGGGGGTGTGGAATAATTCAAAATAAAACCCAAAAGGAAAACGAGGCATGGCAGTTTTGCTGCTCCTCCTCCCTCCACTTTCACCCACAGAAGCTCTGGGTGGGATCGTGCATGGTGTCCAGCTCCAAGGCAATGCCTCACATCCCCCCCCCCCCCCAGCACCCTCAGAGGCCAGGGCAGGGACCCCTAAATCTAACCTCCTGAACCCACTGGAGGTGGGCATCATTCCCCATAACCTCTTCCCGTGCCTCGCCCTGTTCCCCCCACCACGTACTGACTGCAGAGGCAGGCGCAGACAACGAGGATGATAAGGGTGACAATGGCAGCAATCAAGGAGATGATGACGATCTGGCCCCGGTCGCCTCGCAGGTAGAAGATGTCCACCCTCTCGCAGCGAGCCCCCGTGTAGCCCCTCTCACACCTACCCCATGGCACAGGGGAGGCAGAAGATGGATTGGGTGTCCAAAAACCCACCATGGTGCCCTCCTCTTCCCTCTCTCCATGTCCCCAGCAGCAGTGGCTTACACACAAGCTGGCGCCTTCTCGGCCATGAGGAATCGGCATCTCCCCTTGACGCAGTAGTGCTTGTATTCCTCTGGGCACCTGGAGAAGTGTCCCTGCCGCCTCAGCTGTGTCACGTTCCCTGAAGTGACAAGGAAAACCGCCCCCCCCCCCCCCCGGGGTTACAGTTCTCCTCAGAGAGCATCTGGTCCATCCAGAGCCACAGGAATGTGTGTCCTTGGCTGTGGCATGCCGCTTCCCTGCATGGCTGTGGTTGATACAACATCCATCCTCCATCCCAGCCCTCTGCCCTGCATTGTTCAGCTCCCATCCGGTGTCACCAGCTCCCCTAAGCATCCTTGCACCATACCCATGCAGCTCCGGGCTGTGCCACAGGTAAATCCCTCCATTCCATGGTCAGTGGTGACATTTGTGTCAGCACCCACACGACCAAATAAAGCCAAACCTGAAAGGCAATGGAGGTGGGTCAGGGGGCGAAGCTTGGCTAGAGCATCACCACCAGCACCCACCGCAGCCACTTATCCTGGCCTTGGCCATAGGGAGGGGACTGGCAAAGAGCCCCTCCTTCCTCAGCAGCATTGGCTTGGCTGTTCCCCAGGGTGAGGGTAAGGGAAAGCTGGTCCCTGTCTGCCTCCTCCACTCAGCACCAGCATCCTGGAGCCAGACAGGAGGGGTTTAGGGGGCACAGCACAGCCTGTGGGCAGTCAGCAGATGGGGGGGGGGGGGGGGGGGGAATCCCCAGAGATGTCTTTCTGAAAGACCATGGTCTTCTTGGGGCTGTTCAGCCTGGAGAAGAGAAGCTGCGTGGAGATCTCATAGCAGCCTTCCAGTATCTGAAGGGGGCCTGCAAGGATGCTGGAGAGGGACTCTTCATCAGTGACTGTAGCGATAGGACAAGGGGTGATGGGTTTAAACTGAAATAGGGGAAGTTCAGGTTAGATCTAAGGAAGAAGTTCTTTACTGTGAGGTTGGTGAGGCAGTGGCACAGGTTACCCAAAGAAACTGTGGCTGCTGCATCCCTGCCAGTGTTCAAGGCCAAGTTGGTCGGGGCTTGGAGCAACCTTGGAGCAACCTGGTCTAGTGGAAGGTGTCCCTGCCCATGGCAGGGGATTGAAACTGGGTGAACTTTAAGGTCTCTTCCAATCCAAACCAGTCTGGGATTCTCTGATTCTAAAAAGCACACCAGCCATGGGAGTGGGGAGACGTGAACGCTGCAATTCAGCACCCACAGAAGACCAGTAGCTTCCAGTGTCCAACAGCTAAATTCCCACCACATCACTCACGACTGCACTGGGGCATGGATCGAGCTGGAAAAGGGGTAACCATGCTCGCTGTGGCAATGGGACAAAGCTGAGGGCTGGCTCAGACCCAGCACGTCCTGACAGCAGTGGCAGTAACCGGATCGGTAACCAGATCACTGGCATAGCAGCACTGACTCAGCACGGTCCCGCTCCCAGCCCAGCCCTCCCCAGGGATTCACCCCATTGTGGTGGCACCCAGCAGAGTGGGGACAGGTCTCGCCTGGTGGGGCAGGGTGCTGGGTGTTCCTGTTCTGAGTGGGTGCACTCACTTTGCAGCTTGGCCACATCAAGGTCTCCTGGAAAGGGAGACTTTGGGCACCAAGCCTGGGCAGCTGCATAGCCTGGTTCCCATGTTCCTACCCAGTACCCTGACAGCAGTGGAGAGGGTGCCAAGGCTCCGGTGCCCTCCCCATCCTACGGCAGAGATGTTCCCAGCACACGTGTCCCTCCTGGCTATATATAGCTAACAACACATTTTGGGTAACAGAGCTGCAACAAGGACAGGGCTGAACTTCTGCCAGGGCTTCTGTAGCTGAAGAATCCCACTGGGGAGGGGATGCAGCCCCTTCTGGACCAGGCAGCAGGGTGGGATTTGCCTGATGGGAGCCGGGGATGAGCCATGGGGTGGTTTTGCCCCCCTCCCTTGGGAACCTGCAGGCATCAGCACAGGGAGGGAGGCTGACTTCACCCCCAGTGACCGAGTTTACAGCTCAGCATGGAAAGATCCCCACCAAGACGAGATCCCCACCCTTATTGCAACCAGATGCAGATTTTGGCACCCTCTGGGCTGGCAGCCCCTTGAGAGGACAGCCCTGATGGCACCTCCGGCTCCAGGGTGGGGTGGGGGATTGTGGGGTGCCCCCCAATACCCTGAGCTCAGCACCTTGCGGGTGCAAAGAACCTCATCTCTGTGACACGCTGAGAGCCCTTCTCTGCTGTGTAAGGCAGTCAGAGACAACCCAGGAACAAGCATCCCAAACACAGGGTTATTTTGCCATAACACCCCCAACGCTCCCCTGGGAAAGCCCGAATTGCCGGAAAGCAACCACGTGGGGCATCGCCTTGGTCTTATGGGCACCCCCGCCCCAGAACAGGTCGGCCACCCTGGAGCTCCTTCCGCCAGCACAGGTTGGGCAGGTTTTGTCATGCACCAGCTCTGCCAAAAGGCCAAACCCAAAGTGCTCCGATGCCCTGTGTATCACCAAGCCCGGCTGATGTTCAACTCTGCCTGTGGTTATCTCCTGCCAGCCCTGAGCAGGCAGCTGCAGCCAGCTTTTCCCACTTCCCACGCACTTGGGAACTACCACCGGGACGCTTGTGCACTTGTTGAACAGGTATCGGCAGCCCCCCCACATCCCCCATCCCTGGCGCTGCCAAGGAGGCAAACCACGGGTATACCATGAGCAATGTCCCATCCCAGCCCTACTGCAGGATGCACCCAGGGCACCCCGGCTCCATCCTGGCCCCGAGGGTTCCAGAGATCCAGAGCCAAGTTGATACAGGGGAGCACTGGGATGGGACAGTGAGGATTACCAGCACAGGATATGGAGGCACATGGGGTGGGTGCAAGGACTGGGCATGGGGGGAAGACTGGGATGGGATTCTCCGGGGAACACGGGGAGTCACTGTGGTGTGACTGGAGAAGCGCCAGGGTGGATACGAGGGTGGGACAGGGGCAGAGTCGGAATGAGGCAGGGGAACGGGGGGGATCAGCAGGCTGGGACTGGGGGGGGGGGGGGCAGCGGGATGGGGTAGCACCAGAAGAGGCACAGGGGGGCACCAGGATGGGACCGGGCGGTGGGTAGAGGATCACCAGCGTGGCACCGGGAAACAGCAGGAGGGGACAGGGGCAGCACCGGGACTGTGTCGGAGCAGGGGACCCCCGAGCCGAGCCGAGCCGCGCCGCGCCGGGTGCCCCGCGCTTACCGGAGGCGAGTGCCAGGCAGAGCAACAGGGTACTGGGGCCGCCGCCCGGGGCCGGGGCCGCCGCCGCCTCCATGCGCGCAGCCGCCGCCTGGCCGGTACCTGGTGCCCGGCGGCTGCCGCGGGGCGGGACGAGGGCGGTCGCTGCCGGCACAACCGCCCTCCTCCTCCTCCTCTTCCTCCTCCTTCTTCTGTTCCTCCTCCTCTTTTTCCTCGAGCAGAAGCCTCACTCCAGCATCCCTGGGGATTCAGGGAGCCAGAGGGACCCCCGCATCCCGCCCTATCCCAAGTGTGGCTCCGGGCGTTCCACTCCAGGCTGTCATGTTATGAAAAGAGAGACTTATTCATAGCGAGCTGCTAATAAAACAGCCTCCCAAAGCCTTGGCAGGGACTGACGGCAGCTACAAATTATTTTGTGAGGGGCTGTGCCTTGGCACAAACCTTCCGCACATTGGCCTTGGGGTTTATTTTTTGCCTAGGAAGATGATTCTGGTCCCCTGGGATGATGTGTCTGGTCCCCTGAGTGATGTCCCAAGGAGAACGGAAAACCCCTAAGGGGTGATGGGATGCTGGCACGTCCCCTCCTGGCAGCCGGGGACGCTCAGTGGGGATGCAGTGCTATGATGATGCTGTCCAGGCCCCAGGGAAAGCCAAAGAGCTTCTCCCAGCAGAGGAGGGCAGGCAGGGTGGGGTGGTGGGGCTGTGGCCTGCTCCATGTTATTACAGGCATGAAATAAGTGGAAATGAAACACTGGAAAGAACGGGTGACCTCAAACCACAAGCTGGCATCTGTTAATGCAAACACTGGCAGCCACCCAGCCATGCCTTTTGGCCCCTGGCCAAGGAGTGAGTGAGCTAGTGTCACTCTGGCCAGCCAGAAAACCATTTGCACACTGCAGTATGCCAGTGCCGTCAGCCCTTTGCTTGTGGACACCCCAGGTCCTGGCTGGTGGTAGGGGAAGACCCCAGCCCCCCAGAAGCAAGCAGGTGTGATAAACCACTAGAGAAACATTGCGAAGCTCCGTTGGGGAGAGTAGGGACTTGGGCAAGATGAGGGAAACCAGCAGCTGGCACTGGGATGTGAGATGGGACACCCAAGAGGAGCCAGCTTCATCCCCATGGGGCAGGTGAAGGGAAGGAGCAGGCAGCAAAATCCTTGTGGCCACGAAAAGCAAATGGTCTTCCTTTGTCATCCTTCACATCTGGATAAAATTGGGGAGGAAAAGCTTTTTAAAGAACTTTTAAGAGAGCTGGAGCCCCAAGGCAGATGTCACCAGAGGTAGTGGTTTCCCTTCTCCAGTAGAAATGAGAAGGGCTGGCAGAAGATATCTCCAAAAAGGGACATCTTGCTGGGCCTATGTCCTCTGCCCTCACTGTCACCCTGAGTATCACATCTGCCCTGGGGAGGCCCAGGGACCTGTGTGGCCAGGCAGAGCTAGCCATCCCATGGTGACCAAGCAGGTGGGGCCCTGCTGATGGCAGAGGTGGCCATGATATGATGAGGCAGAAGTGACCAGGCAGGCAGAGGTGGCTCTGCTGGGGTGACCATGCTGATAAGACCAAGAAAGGATCAGATGTCACCATGCCAATGAACCAGGCAGAGGCGACCAGGCAGATGTGACCATGCTGATGAGACCAGAGAGGGTTGATCAGGTACCTGTGATATGCAGAGGTGGCAAGGCAGAGGTGGCTAAATGAGGTGGCCATGATGTTGAGACCAGGCAGATAAAACCAGGCAGAAATGACCAGGTAGAGGTGGCCCTGCTGAGGTGACTGTGCTGATGAGATGAGGCAGGGGTGGCTGGCAAATGTGACTGTGCCAATGAGACCAGGCAGATGTGACCATGCAGGTGTGGCCCTCCTGAGGTCACCATGTTGATGATTCTAGGCAGATGGGGCCATGCTGAGACCAGGCAGAGGTGATCAGGCAGATGTGACCATGCAGGCATGACTCCGACACCCAATGCCATTGTGGGGAGCGGTGTCTGTGCCCAGCCCTGCCCTCTCCTCGGAAACCTCCTCCTGCCCATGGGAACATGCAGCACCTTCCGCAAAACAAAGCCAAAGCAAGGGCTGGGAGACCAGCAGCAGTGGAATCGCGCAGCTTCTGCATACCTGCAGCTGTACCAGAGTTATTTTTCCACCTTCCAAGCAGAGGAAAGGTTTCAAGGGGAGCTGAGATGCTGTCCAATGTATGCCAAAGGCAGCTGGCATGCTGGCCACTTCAGAAACACCAGCTGACTTGGATTTTGTGTCCTGCTGTTTTAGGCCTGGAGCCAGGATCCACCCCAAGAAAACGCCACACAATGCAATCAGATGGATGGCTCCATAACCCCAGGCCTGGCTTTGATGACATTCGTTTCCAGAGTGAGCATGAGAAAGCTCATAGAGAACACAAGTTCAGACTCAAAATATTTTCCACCTGCAGCAAAGCTCTTTCCAGAGGGAAACGGGTAGAACCACAGCACTTGTACCTCCGCTGTGTCAAGGGTGTCCCCAGGATGGGTTCTTTGGTCATTTTGAGCTGCATTTTGAGTGCTGTTCATGCTGTTCGTGCTGTGGAAAGGCAGGAACCTGGCTGTGTGGGTCTGGCTTGGCTCCTCTTGATACACGTATCCAGGGTGTCTCCTGCCACAGCCCCAGGACACCCCTGATGTGGTGTGTGATGCTCAGTGAGGGCATGGAGAAACCCCATCCAGCCATAGCAGGGTGCCTTTCCCTTTCCCTTTCCCTTTCCCTTTCCCTTTCCCTTTCCCTTTCCCTTTCCCTTTCCCTTTCCCTTTCCCTTTCCTTTCCCCTTTCCCCTTCCCTTCCCTTCCCTTCCCTTCCTTTTTCTCCTCTCTTCTCCCTTATTTTCTATGCTATCCTATGCTATCCTATCCCCTCCCATTCTGTTCTATATGGTCATGTTCTATTCTATGCTAATCTAATATCTTGTATTCCACTTCATTCTATTCCATTTCATGCTATCCTATCCTTTTATATCCTATCGTATTCCATTCCACCCCATTCCATTCTATTATATTATTTTCTACCCTATCCTGTCCCATTCCATCCTATTCTAATATTTCCTATTCTATCTTTTCCATTCTATCCCATTCCATTCCATCCTATCCTATCCTATTCTATTATTCTCTAAGCTCTCCTCTCCTTTTCCATTCTAGCCCAATCCATTCAATCCTATCCTGTTCTAATATTTCCTGTCGTATCCTACTGTAACCTATCATATCCTATTGTATCCTATCCTATCCTGTCCCATTCGATCCCATTCCATTCCACTCTATTATTTATATCCTATCCTATCCTATCCTATCCTATCCTATCCTATCCTATCCTATCCTTCCCTGTCCCGTCCCGTCCCATCCCATCCCACCCCATCCCATCCGGAGCCGGCATGGCGCTAGGAAAGCCGGTCCCCGCATCCCAGCGCCCGTGCGCAGCGCGGGCTGCCCGGAGCCGGTCACTGGTTCCGCTGCTGCTGCCCTGGCACTCGGTTCCCCGGCGCGGTGCCCGGTGCCGGCAGGTGCCGCTGTCCGTCCGGCGCTGGAGCGGGGCGGTGCCACGGGGGCCGGCCAGGGGCCGGCGGCGGGCGGGTACCGTGAGCGGGCGGTGCGTCCGTCCCTCCCGCCGCGGCTGCCAGCGCCGCCGGCACCATGGGCTGCTGCTGCCGCCTCCTGCTCGCCCTCTTCCTCCTCCCTTCAGGTAAGCGCGCGCCGCCGCACCGGGATATCACGGGGGGGAAACGGGGACCACTGCGATAGGGACAGGGGGAAGGCAGCCCCCTCCTCGCCGGGGACAGCGTCCTGGCGGAGGCAGGATGCTTCCCCCGCACCGGTCCCATTCGTGCCACCCGTGCCCACAGGCGCCCCGACACCAGTGAGGCCGGGTGAGGGGCGTTTCGCCCCTCTTTGCTTCGCGCCAGCCCTGTAGATGGGTCCTCGGCTGGCAGGGGGACAACTTCAGGGGACCCCAGCATCTCCTCGCAGGGAGTCCTCCCTGCCCGGCTGGAGCTCAACCCCCTCAGCCTTGCAACCCCCTTCCTAGCACGGTCACTGCTTTGAAGGAGCTTTTATCTCTCACCCTGGCCTTGAGCGGAGGCTTCTGCACACCCAGTGACCAGCTAAAGGCATCTTCCCCCCAGCAATATCAACCTCCCCTGTCCCACAGAAACACCCAATTCAACATCCTTCCCCCACTAAGACAGGCAGGGGAGACAGCTTGGTCCCTGGCTGGCATGACAGTGGCCGCTTTCAAATGACAGCACTCACAGGTCATCCCTTCTGTCCAGGCTGGGGTTTTAATAAACAACAAGGAGAGCTGCTTGCTCAGAAACATGGAAAACACACTTGCATAATCAGGTGATGGGGACACACACAAGGAGAAAAGCATTAAGCAAAACTGTTGTTATTAAATTGCTCTTGCTTGCAGCAGATGGATGTGACATGTCCCCAAAACAGCAGCTGGGGAGGCCACATCTGCAGGAGCAGCAAACCCTCACCCTGGGCCGTATCACCTTTCCTTGTTGAGGGACCCTGCTAGTGGAAGAGAAGGAAGAGCTGGCTATATCCTTCTCCTCAGAAAAGGGGACTTTGCACAAGCTCTTGTTTCTGTGCTTTCCCAGCAAGTGCATTTGTGAGGGAAGGGGATGAGCCTACATTTTACTCCACAGGGATGCTGCTCGCCTCGTTCACAGTGGCCCCAGTTTGGTCACTGCTTTCACAAGCCTCGGCTGGGAGTCAGCCCTTGGCCACTTTGGGGTTGGAGGCGGGTTTTTCCCAGCGCCCAGGCCAAACCCAAAGCTGTTCCCACGACCATCCCTCTCTAAAGCACCAACACCAGCAAAGCTTGGCAAAAGACCCAGGAAAAATATCCCTGGAGTACAACCCTGTGTCTCTCAGGCTGCTCCCAAACACTCTCCGAGCCCCAGATCCTTCAGATGCTTTCTATGACTTTTTTTTGTCCCCATATAAATAATACTTAAAATCTATATTTATCACCCACGAGAAAACAATAAGCATGATTTAAATACGCTTCGAGCTCATTCTTTGGGACTGAGTGATAGAGAGGACGTCACTGGGCAGGACTAAAATAAGACTGGGCTTCGCCTGGCCACGTAATTAAATAATAGCATCTCACACAAGGAAGTTTTCATCCTGTTATTACTTCTCACTCTGGATGTCATTTCAAACCTGCTTTGCTGCCCTGACATAATGCCCAGCCCCAGGCCGATTTTCCCCTTTAGCAATTTGCTTTGCTCTGAGAAGCTGAGGCATTTTAAGGTACTCGCAAGAGGCAGCTTTCAGCTTTAAAGGCTTTGGGTGCTTCTGCAAGGAGCCTCCGGGGAGGAAAAGCTGCTTCTTGGGGGGTCTCTGGGCCTGGCACCATGGGCTACTCTGAGCTGCCATGAAGGAGATGGAGCTTTGAGCACTCCCAGCCCCACTTCCCAGTATATGAGCTGAAGGAGAGGGGAGATGGGTAATTAATTATCTCCTCTCCCAGCCTAAATGAGTAAACTACAGCTTTGGCCTCTATAGCAGAGGATGTGCAAAAGTTCCTCTGCTGAACCCAGTTGCTTCCCCTCCTGAGGAAGGCTGGGATGGGGCTGATGCTGCTGACAGCTGCTCCTAGAAGCAATAATTAGCAGCTAGCCAGGAAAATGATTTAGCTGGTGCATTGTCACTTGGGCAGACCTACTCTTTGACACAGGCCTGGCCAGCTCAAGAACCATATCCAAGATATCCACTTGGGAAAAGGCATTGTGAGAGGGCCCAAGCCCAAGGGCATGTAGGCTCATCTGCCAGTTATCAGCCCCAAGAGCTGACAAGTGGTTTCTCATCCTATGATGTAACATCCCAGGGAAATAAGCCCAGCATAACACATATCTGCATGTTCCAAAAATATAACATGCAGTATTAAAGTATGTTTTATTTATATCAAGCAAAAGTCATTTTAGAATAAGCTGGTGCTGTCAGCTACTGCTCTTAATGAGGGCAAAAGCTCCCAGCAATCAGCAAAAGTCACCATACGAGGTGACAGCCTGCCAGCCCACCCCAGTGCGGACACAGGCCTTGCCAGCAGGGATTCTCCAGGAACACAGAGGCTTTCCACCCCAGGTCCTCATCAGTCACCTCTGGCTGCATCAGTTGACCAGTAGCCACAAGTCACTCTCAGAAGGAGAAAAAAGCTATGAAGACTCCTCTTCATCTTCTTTTCTGTCATAATGTCATTGCAGCTTCAGGATCAAGGACTTCATGAGTAGAATAATTAAGCAACACGTGGTGTTGAGGTGGGAACATAATGGTTTAGTTGTGTGGAGGGTGGTGTGGACACCCAGCTCCACAGCTGTTGTAAAAAATAGGTTTGTTGTACAACCAACAGCCCTTGCTGCTGGGTTTGGACATGAGAGCAGAGAGTTGCCTGAGGAGGATGTGAACACTCACCCCAGGCAGGGGAAGAGCAGGTGATAGGAACCATGCAAGCAACCATCTTTACTTTACAAGTTGACATTATCATTTTTAGCTGTGAGGAGCAGAGGATGCAGGGTGGCGAAGCTGTCCATCTGGTTCCTCAAGAGCAATCTGCCTGCCACAGCTTTCCTCAGGGTCTGAAAAGTGCTCAGGAGCAAGCCAGGTCCCTGTGTTAGCTCGTCCTGCTATGCAATAACCTGGAAAAGAGCAACTCCCAAACCAGGCCAAAAGCCAACAGCCAGTGAAGACCTTGCTTGGACCCTCTCCATGACAGCTTGCCTGAAGCCCCCAACTTTACGTGTTTGGCCACATAGATTCTGCTCTTGCCTTTTGCAAAAAGCAGGACATACATCTACAAGAGATGTTGGTACAACCCCGCCATCCACAGAGGTGTGTACAGATAGGCTTGCTCAGCAGCAACTGCCAGTGGGTCTGCACCCTCAAGGAGAGGTGCCAAGGGACATTCCCAGGGTGTCCTGGTGAGTTGCATGTTTGGGACAGCATCACCCCCAGAGATGGGGCTTCTGGATGGTGAGGGACACATGGAGATAGCATATCCATTTCCATTGCATAGCTGTTTCTCTGAGCTACAGAAAGCTTCAGGCTCCTGAGCAATTAGACCTAAACCACTTAACTGCCATGCAGCAGAAGAAAACTAATCATGCAGGAAACCAGGCTGGCTTGCCAGCAAATCAGAGCAAATGCAGATTTATTTGATCTGATGGCCTTGGCTTCTTTATGCAGCCCCTGGAGTGCTTTGCCTTTTACCTGTTGATGTTTCTGGCCCCCGGTTTTCTCACTTGGTTTCTTCCTCCTCTGACAACTGGTTTTATACCAACACAACCTGGCATGGAAAAGAAAGGAGATACAGCAGGAACCAAGCAGGCAGCAAGGAAGCAGCACATCACCCAGGGGTGCTCTTGCTCCTACTAACATTCTAGGTCACTAGCACACATATGCAGTGGTGGAGCTTTGCTGCAGGCCTGGAGACCAACCTTGTTGGCCCTGATTTACTTACTGAAGCTCAACAGCAGACAGAGATGTCACCAAGAGTTACCATTTCCCAGTACCAGCCTAACAAGGTGTTCCCTCTGGGGTAGCGTGGAAAGCTTGTGAGGGCTTGAGACACTGCTTAGACCCTGCAGAGCTGCTGCCAGACCACCCCATCATCCTTATTTCTCAGACATAAAAAGGCAGGGCCCTCCCAACAGTGTCCTAAAAGGGCACAGACCCAAGGTCAAAGTCCAAAACTACCACCACATCCTCCCTGTTGCTTCTCCCCTATCAGTACAGAGCTTAATCAGACCCTTGTGTAGTGCAGATGGGGCTCTCCAATTAGAGAGAAGAGACATGAATGCCATCAAAGCCCAGATCATATGGTGATAGAGAAGGTGACGCAGCCCAGTGCTGAACAGCTTGTAGAACAAGTTTACCCCAAAGCAACAACTGGTTTTATTTAACCTTAGTCACCACAAGACGACCTTTTGCCATCCACAGCTAGATACTGGCAATTTTATAGCTGAGAAGCAATAACAAAGTTACACCTGAGCAGGAACAAGAGGGAAGGGAACTGCAGAAGAACAGCACAAGGTTTGAGAATTCCCAGCCACAGAAACCAAAACCAAGCCAGCAAGGTCATGAACAGGAAGTCCTCACCCTATATTTAAACATAAATTGTTTTACTGCTCTGCATCATTAACCCTGGTAATAAACCAACGCATGCTGCAGGACCAGAGGAGTTAGGGATACTCTATCATCATTATTTGGGGAGAACCAGGAAAATGTAAGACCTGAAGAAGGTCAAAGAAGATCGTACACCACCAAAAACATCACCCTGAGTAAAAGACACCAGCTTACCTAGGCATTTAGGGCCCAGGTGCTCCTCTAAAACTGTTAAAAGAGAAACTCACTCCTCTGCACGTGCTTTCCTCTATGAGTACCATTGCTCATCAATTATCTCCCATGTTTTATCCCATTATCTTACTAATACAGAAGGGACAGACCTCCAGCCACCAGCTTTTATATCGGAGCCCCTAATCACCCTGGTGAGACTCACCTGGGACCCCCCACCCCACCAACATCCCTCTGCCCATTGGGCCGGGACCTCTATTTAAACTCAGGCTTGGGTCCTAGCTTCTTGTCTCAACTGTGTGGTAGATAAATGCGTCTATAGTGTTGGGTGATTCTTGGACCTGTGCTGTGTGTAGGTTTGTCTCTAATCCATTCTTTTTCATTTTGGGCTGATGTTCTGATGCTGCTTCTAGTTGTTTCTTGTGCTGGTTTTAAACTTAACATGCTCCTTAATCCCCACATAGCAGAGGATAGGGTAGTATCAATATCCTTTTTTATCTTGCCTAGATAGATCTTGTGGGTATATAATGAGATGACTAGGGATTTCTGATTTAGAGAATAGTATAATGTTTATCTGAATAATACTGATGTTACAGAAACCTTTACCCTTGGGGCTTTGGTATTTAGAGGAGCACCACCTTTGGCAGGCTGGGGTACAGGTGCCTCAGCTAATTCAGGCTGAGAGCAAGCATGTGGTGTGTGGGTTAGATCATCTGGTGCTTCTGACAGTTATATCATATGAGATGAGTTATGAAGTGAAGCTTGTTAAAAACTCCATTTTTGCTCTATCAGTGGATGTTTGTTTGCTGTGGAATGGCTGCTCTATGTGATGTCATTCACTTGGGCTAGAGATGTGTTCGGGGGGGGGGGTGGGGGGGTGGGGTGGTATGCTGTTTCAGCTGGCAACACAATTCTAAAGCTTTACTGTGATTGCTTGTAGAGTGCTTAAGAAATGCATTGCTGGAGAGGCTGCCAGGCCAGGCAGCTGTTTCCCAAGCATTCAGCTTCTGCAAGACTGAGACCTTCACCTTTCTGTGGCTTTCAGAAGCCAGAAGAAGAGCATGCAAATAAGGGAGGGAGATAACCCATCAGGGGGAGGGTTCATTCCTTGGGTTGACAGGTGATTAGGGTTAGTATTCCTTAAAAGCAAGGTATTTGAATTACAGGGGTTTGGGTTTTATGTTCTTGGCTCTTTTCCATATTCCTAGATAAGCCAACCTAGAAAAAGGACCTTTCATGTGGGGTGTGAAGTGTGACACTGCTGTTATTCTAGTTGCTTACCTTGCCCTGGCAGCTCTCTGCCTGCCTCTCCTCTAAGCTGGATTCTAGCAGGGTGGTCAACTGCCTTAAGTGAATTAGGCAATGGGAAGATCCCTCATGGCCAAACTATGTTTGGCATCCTTTGACAGCTAACATTCTCCAGTCCCTCTGACAACCCCTGTTTGGGGCTTTTTTAGCCTTTGAAGCCATGTGGTCCTGAAATAACTTTTTCTAGTCACTTCTTTTGTCCCTTATTCCAGTGCATTGTTCTGGTTCACAGCTGCTCCTCCTACAGTCCAGGTGCTGGACAAAGAAGCTCTTCTTTCCTTTTGCAGATGTGTTGGTAGAGGAATGGGCTTGCAGACAAGCTGGGTGTTCTTCTGGCCATCCATCTCCCTGGGGACAGGCAACACTAACCTGTGAGGCAGGCTGCCCATGAGCCGTGGCATGAGGACATTTGGAGCTCTCAGCCAGATCATCTTTGTCCCTTCATCCTAACCTGGGTCAGAAGCAGCCCGCATTGCCTTTGGGATGAGTAGCCTTTGGCTGTGCTTACTTTCCTGGGAGATGTCCCTGTGATTTGTAACTTGGCTGGGAGCACTCAGAGAGTGGCCAAGGATTGTTCCTGCATCCAGTTTTGGCTCACCTTCTCAGTTTATACCCCTTAGATGTTATTGGAAACTTCCTGACTCACCCTGGCTAGCAGCACTGCCAGCTTTTTGAGGTCCCTATTGGTTTGCCTCCAATGTCCAAGCACAAACAAGCAACATGGGATGCCAGGGTGGCTTTACAAAGAGCTGATCTTGGTGTCCAAAAGACTGGAAGCATCCACATTTAGACAGGTAATAAATTTTCAAGGTGCTAACAGTCCTGGGAGGGTTCTGATGGGCTTGATGTAACAGCAAGATGTTGTGCTATGGGCTTCAGAGGCTGTCTGCTACCTGTTGGACAAGTCACATCTGCAGTGTCAAGTGTGGGGGAGAGAAGATTATTTTACAGAAATACAGATAGATAGACTCATGGAATGATTTGGGTTGGAAAGGACCTTAAGATCATCCAGTTCCAACCCCCTGCCAAGGGCAGGGGGCCTTCACGCTAGACCATGTCAGCCAAGGCTCTGTCCAACCTGCCCTTGAAACATGTGAACCCTGATCTGCAGAACATTAAGAGTGAAGGGGTGCTTGTTGTGGGTTTTTCAGCTCTTCCAGTGCCCTCTACTACCACATGACATCTGATTTCTGCCTTGGCTTAACCATCTCCAGTGCAGACATCTTAAACCAGTTGAGTGCTGTGCTTGGGGCATGCATGAGCTGTGAGCTTTAGCAAGGGGATGCCAGGTCAGCTGGGCACCTTCAGGCAGCACTGCAGAGGATGAGGGGTTTGCTGCTGTGATAGTGTTGCAGCAATGGCACCTTGTGCCACTGCTGATGGGACAGGCTGACTTAGTGATGGTGTAGCTTGGGGGGGGGGGGGGGGGGGGTAATCCAATTATCTGAGGTCAGAAGCTTTTTATATCAAGCTGCATTGCTGATATGCCTTTCCACACATGCATCTCTAAAGCAGACCTTCTGCTCTCCAGCAGAGACCATGCTCCTCTTGCATATTGCCCAGCATGGCTGAATGGTGTTAAAACCTTGAGAAAGACCCTGTTGCTCATTGCTCCTCATGAATCCAGGCAGCGATTTCATGTCCCACCCTCAGCCATGAAAACAAGTAGGCTGTGCTTTCCTGGGGTTGTGGCTGATGGTACCTTCAGCTCTTGCCATGTTGTGGGCTACCACTACCTGCTAGAAAGGGCATTTGCACCTTCTTTCCCTTCAAAAAGGAGATGGAGATTTTGCATCATTCCATCCTCCCACTCTGCCACCTATGTGGCATGGCAAATCATAGCGGTTAGGGTTGGAAAGGACCTTAAGATCATCTGGTTTTCTTTATGGTATTGCAATGCCTGAACTGAGCAAGGGAGCCACCAGCTTCTGGAGAAGGAGGGGGCAGGAGGAGTGGGAACCCACTGGGTTTGTTGGAGGGACCCAGTGCTGTGGGCAGGCTTTCTCCTGATGAGATGCTGTGGGTAAAGCCAAGCTGTGAAAACCAGTGCATTCATCTGCACTAGTGGCTTTTAAGCTCAGGATTATCACAGCAATGCAGCTCAAGTTCACATGCCAGTAACTCCCAGTTATTAACTAGGGAGCCTGAGATGTGAGGTCTTGGGATGATGAAACATCAGTGTCTTGATGACAGCAGAAGCTTTGCAGAAGCCTGGTGTGCTTTGGGAAGGAGGAGGGGGGATGGCTGGATGCTTCCCCACCGCTGTGGTTGGGCTGGGTGTGGAAACCACAGGTGCTGAGCCTGGTGGCTTATTTGGTAACCAGATTCCAGCTTGTCATTCATCTCCCCTCCCTTATTTTAAGGTCTATCAGCCTTGGGCCTCAGCAGACCGAGAGCCTGAGGACAGTGAAAGCTCGGAGGCATGTCCAAGTATGTGTCCCTAGTAGAAGAGCACTTAAGGCATTAGACCCTGCTGCTTGGGAAATGCAGATACCCATCCATGTCTCTATAGCACCAGAAAAAAAAAATACAGGGTCAAGTGTGCCAGGGACTTGCCATGGGCTCTAGCAGAAGCCATGCCCCAGAGCTGGCTTTAAATCCCTGGCCAAACATATGTTTGCAGTTCCTAGACAAAAAATGCCTTCAATTAGAGGTGTTACATACCCAGTGCTTGCTGCAGTGAGCTGGAGATCCTCAGCTGAGATGTTCCTTCTGCTGTCCTCTTCCACTGAAGCTGTGCAGGTTGAGTGAAACCATATTAGACACCTTCAGTCTTCTGTTGGCACTCATGGCTGAAAACACCCAAAAATATGAGTTACTGAGTCCCTGTTCACTGATGCTGAATCCCACCTCTTCTATACACAGGCACTAAGTGTTTCCATCTCTCCTTCAGCATGAGGTGCTGTCAGTGTCCTGGGAGCCTTGTGGCTCTCCTGGGTACGTGACAGCATGGGGCTTTGCAGAAGGAACCATGTGTTGCCCAGCCGCTACTCCCACATTTGAGTCCCTCCCATGCTGCTGTTTCTTGGAACAGCTGCATGGTGGGGCAGGAACAACCCTGTTAGATCGAAAACATCTCTAGTGCAGCTTGGGTCACTTCTTGCTGGGTGTCACCTGCATGGGTAGCATTTCAGTTTGACTTTTGGGGGACATCAGATTTGGCTGTGGTAGCTGACAACATCTTGCGCGGTGGCTTGGTAGCAGGGAGGAGACCCTTGTGCACCCACCAGTGGTACCCAGGCGTATATAATCCACAAGCGCCTACTCACAAAATGCTACCATGATAGCTGTCTGTGCACTCACTGCTGTTGTTTCACTCTTAGATAAGTACCAAGCTGCTGTCTCTGGAACTGGAGTGAGAGTTTGGCTTCAGCGTTCCCACAAACCAGCATTTTGCTGAGGTTTTTTTTTGTCCTCCATACTCAAAATTGGAAGGGATCTTAAAGCTCATCCAGTTCCAACCCCCTGCCATGGGCAGGGACACCTTCCACTAGAGCAGGTTGCTCCAAGCCCTGTCCAACCTGGCCTTAAATACTACCAGGGATGGGGCAGCCACAGCTTCTCTGGACAACCTGTGTCAGGGCCTCACCACTCTGACAGGGAAGAACTCCTTCCTAAGATCTTGCCTCAGTCTCCCCTCTGTCAGTTTAAATCCATTCCCCCTGTTCTGTCACTACATGCCCTTGTGAAGTCCCTCTCATTGTGGCTTGTTTGCATCAGAGCAAGTTCTTGCTCTTCCCAGTGCTGGGCTTGGGATGCTCTGGGGGTGTAAATAAATGAATGCATGGGAATAAAAATCCTTCCTGATGTCATTTAGTGTTGGCATGTTCTTCCCTCTGCCCAGCTGTGCCAAGGCAGTTAGCTGCTAGCGCTGGCCCAGTGCTGAGTTTAACTCTGGAGAGCAGAAAGAGGGGGAGGGGAATGCCCCAGCAATCTGCTGGTGGGGTCAGAGGGAAAAATGACTCATCTTCATGCTAAGAAACAGAGACAAATGAATGAATGCACAAGGAAATGGGGGGAGAGGAGAAAGAGGCGTCTTGTGTTATTCCCAGCTGTGCTGTGCTTGCTGCTGAGGAGGTGATTACTCCCCTGCTGCTGTGCTGGCTATTGGGAGGAGATGCTGGGAAGCTGTAGGGGATGCTGGGGAATGGGGGGATCCTAACCTAGGGGAAAACCAGTGCTGACCCATGCTGGGGAACTGGTCTGGTTTAAACCTCACCTCTAGCTATGCAGATAATTTCCCATCTCTTTTAGATGGCTCTTGGTATTTTAAGTAACAATAAACATATTTCCATCTTCATCCTAAAACCCCGAGTTGCCCCAAGGATTTCCTGGTATTTCATATGCCTTTGTCTCATTCCTAGGACTGGGTGATGACTCCACACCATCGCCCCTCACCCTTACCAGCCCTCCCTTCCTCTCAGAGGGGATCCCAGTGGCACCGGGCTCCAGGGATGCAGCTCTCCCCACATCAGCTCCTGGCCAGCCCGTATCCATGGAATTCACTGAAGAAAGGCCATCATCCTCATTCACCCCTGCAGCAGCACTGTCCCCTGCTCCTGCCTCCATCACTGTGGCTGTCACCACCACCATAGCAGACAGGTCACCTGTAGTCTCCAGCCCCAGCTCCATGCCAACCACCTTGGAGACAGCCCCAGGTCTTCGGATAGCAAACACTATGGACATGGCAAGAGGCACGGTGGATCTGGGGGCAGCTCCCAACACCACGGGTATAGCTGCATCCTCCTCCTCCCTCCCCACCAGCGACCCTGGGACAGTCTTGTCCCCAACACCTGTCCCCAAGAGCCCCACCACAACCCAGCCACCTGTGCTGACCAAGGAGGTCCCTTCCCCGGGGACAGTGCCCATGGTGTCAAGCCTGGCCGTGGAGCCAACGTCACCCCCAGTGACTCTGACAAGCCCCATGGCAGCAGAGGAATCCATGGCCACCGGTAAAACCACCCTCTCCACTGGAATCACTATGGAAGAGGTGCCACGTGCCTTGAGTGCAGGTGAGCACCACCACCTCCATATCGCAGAATGGTTTGGGTTGGAAAGGACCTTAAGATCATCCAGTTCCAGGCCCCTGCCATGCGCAGGGACACCTCACACTAGACCATGTCGCCCAAGGCTCTGTCCAGCATGGCCTTGAACACCGCCAGGCATGGAGCATTCACAGCTTCCCTGGGCAACCCATTCCAGTGCCTCACCAACCTCACAGTAAAGAACTTCTTCCTTAGATCAAACCTGAACTTTCCCTGTTTCAGTTTAAACCCGTTACCCCTTCTCCTGTCGCTACAGTCCCTAATGAAGAGTCTTTCCCCAGCATCCTTCAGGCCCCCTTCAGATACTGGAAGGCTGCTATGAGGTCTCCACGCAGCCTTCTCTTCTCCAGGCTGAACAGCCCCAACTTCCTCAGCCTATCTTTATATGGGAGGTGCTCCAGTCCCCTGATCATCCTCGTGGCCCTCCTCTGGACTTGTTCCAACAGTTCCATGTCCTTTTTATGCTGAGGACACCAGAACTGCACACAATACTCCAAGTGAGGTCTCACAGGAGCAGAGGAACAGGATCACCTCCTTCTGTCAACCTCAAGGTGCTTAGACAAGAGGGGCAGAGCCCCCCCCAGAACTGGAAGGGAAGAGGTGGCCAACTTCCTGAGAGCACCATTTAGCAATAGCTGTGCTTTCCTGGAGGAGTCT